ATTCTTAATAAAATAGTTAATCATTTTCTTTAAATAACTATTTAGTTTTTTAAAAATTAATAAGAATCACTAATTGATGTGCCAGGCGATAATTTATAACATATGTTATTACATTTATCGTCCTTAAAATAGACCAGCTACTTTGTTATATAACATGCTTTAATGTTTAACATATATACTATTATCTTATTTATTATCATTTAAAAGATTAAAACTTTATTTAAAATCATAATTCTAAAACAAAATAATTTTAAAATTTTAACATCTGTCAAGGAGACATCAGTGACACTAATAAATAATAATTAATGAGTTAATAATACTTGTTGGTTTATTTTAACTGATATAAATAATCTGTTTCGATTGTTTTTTGATTAAAAAATTTTTTTAATCAATTTTTTAGAAGCTTTTCAAATATTATAAAAAAGTTTATTTTTGAAATCGACCCATAAAAGCTTTCATTTTGATCTCATTAATCATTAAAATCAAAATAAAAGCCTAAATATATAATTTTTTGATAAATAAATCTTTAAAATACTAATCTTTCTATTTAAGTAATAAATTATATATAAACTAACATGATTTCTTTTTATATTTATTGTTTTAGATAAAACTTTGAAAATAAAATATAATTAGGCTTTGAATCTCTTTTGCGACATGTGAATAACTAACATTTTCAATTATATTATAATCATATTTAGTCTAAAAACAAAACTAATAGAATAATATTTTATCATATGAAATCTTAAGTTAATATTTGAATAATAAACTAATTTAGTATTTAAAAACAATAAATTGTAAAGATTTAAAGCATATCATTGAGTTAAAAAAAGTTAAAGTTTTTGTTTGTTAAAAGAAACAAAATTAATTAGAGGTATTTAATTAAAATACATGATAAATTAATTGAAGTTGCATGTAATAATTTCAATTTTGTCTTGAAAGGTTTTTTAATTTAAAAACTTTTATGATTTAATAACCATTAAATACATGAGTTGACAAAATAAATGTAATTTCTATTTAAAATCAAATTTATGTGAATTATTTTATTTAACCTGTCTTTTATTTGTTTTGTTCAAAGAATTAAAGAAGTTTTTTATAGCATTCTGAGTTCTACCAGGCATTCTTTTAGCAATTTTAGACCAAGAATTACCAAGTTCCTTTTGAGCTTGAATTATAAAATTTTTTTCTTCAATTGTAAATGGATTTCTATTTAAAGAAGGATCTAATTGATTGAACCATCTTTCTCTACATTGCTTTCCAACCCTTGTTTCCATCTTTTCAGCTATAAATCCCCAGTTTTTAGCTCCAAACTCAGAAACTAGATTTGTCAATCGCTTGTCTTCTTCTTTGGACCAAACACCTCTTTTCAATTGTGAATTTGTTGTCTCTTGTGAACTCTTAGAATTGCTCTTTCTACCTCTTTTTTTATTGGTTACTTTAGATTTTTTCTTTAATTTCTTTTTTGATTTTTTACCCCAAATAGTATCTGTGCTATCACTATCACTCATTGTTTCACCTTCATCTTCCTCTTCTTCATTACATACACTCTCTTTAACATCTTCTTTTATAGAAGAAACATACTCTGTATTATCATAATGCTGTATAGTATCAACAAATGGATTTTTTAGATCATGGTTAGGTACCATTTTTTGATATTCATCAAAAAGTAAAATTTTATGAGTTAAGTTCTTTGAGTCATCATACTTCACACCTGCAAATAATAATTCATCATCACACAAATCAGCTAGGGCGCTTAATTTTTTTGTAAAATCACCACCATATTTATACTTTTTTCCTCAACCTTGTTTAAATAGTAATCAAATTCATTATAATAACTAGCATCTTCTTTACCATAAGCTTGACCAAGAAATGCTTGATAGCTTTCATATATAGACATCTCATCTGCCCTATAATAGTTTTTTGCATACAAATTCAAATTTGGATCGTATTCTTCACTATCTTGATATCTTGATTGATTCATTTTACAGTCTTTATTATGCATATT